TACACTCTGTGACTTAAAAAACATTTAACCGTAGTGGAGACATTCTTTTGATTGGTTGGTTGAACAGTGGGGCTGATACAATAAAGTTAAGGTGGATTGGCATGTACATAATTCAAAGGTGACGGCACAGTGGCTTACAACCAGTTTTGGCCTATACAGTACTGTTTACAGCACAAATGCATACCAGCATGGGTTGCATTACTCTGAGATGCAGGCTAATGTGGGCTCACGTCATTACAGCCAGCGACAAGCCACACTTCAAAGACACACTTTGAATACCACGTATGCCCTTGGAATTGACATGTCATTTATATTCACAGTACTTTATATATACACGTTGTATTATCATATATGTTATATTATATGCATATATCCGCGACATTATATTTTTACCCAAGATTATCCTTCTTGTCCACGCTGATGTGGGGGGGTGAACTTCATGGATACCGTTATCCTGGGGGTGGTCTGTGTTGTTCCTACTCCACTTATCCATGATAAAAACAATGCAGGTGAACGGGGGATAATAGGATGAATTTTCTTGCTGAACTATTCTCATCTGTGAAAATAATAGTTGTGAATGTTGAAATGTACACACGTAGCCGGGTTGGCTTGTACCGCGTAGGCAGCGCACAAACACATGCGTCAATTAATGCTTCAATACTCTTTGGTTCTTTCGATAAAGTCACGTAGGTATAAAATAAATCACGACGTTTCGGGCGCAATACAAGAGTCCATCATCAGGTGGGAAAGCGTGGTTTGCTGCTGAGGCAGACTGTTTTAAAAGGATTGAAATGGGTGTAGCTCAAGGGTTATAAAGAAGTGGCCACGGCTAGTGATGTTAATGTGAGAGATTATCATGTAACTGTGAGATAGGAGAGTGGCCTCCTAGACGAGGGCGCTCACATGTCTTTTGGATTCCACTCTCATACCCACAGGCCCTTCGGATTACACCCGTTGGGTTGCACTCCCTCGTCGAGGAGGCCGCTCTTCTTCTCTTTCTTTTCTACAGTTAACATCATGCTAATCTCTCACATTAACATCATGCTAATCCCTCACATTAACAGAGCCACTTCCGTGCCCTCTTATTTCTCACATTTACATCATGCTAATCTCTCACATTAACAGAGTCACTTCTGTGCCCTCTAATTACTCACTTTAACATCATGCTAATATTTCACATTAACAGAGCCACTTCCGTGCCCTCTAATTTCTCACTTTAACATCATGCTAATCTCTCACATTAACAGAGCCACTTCCGTGCCCTCTAATTTCTCACTTTAACATCATGCTAATCTCTCACATTAACATCATGCTAATCTCTCACATTAACAGAGCCACTTCCGTGCCCTCTAATTTCTCACATTAACATCATGCTAATCTCTCACATTAACAGAGCCACTTCCGTGCCCTCTAATTTCTCACATTAACATCATGCTAATCTTTCACATTAACAGAGCCACTTCCGTGCCCTCTAATTTCTCACATTAACATCATGCTAATCCCTCACATTAACAGAGCCACTTCCGTGCAGCAGACCATGCTTTCCCACCTGATGACGGACGCTTGTGTTGCGCCCGAAACGTCGTGATTTATTTTATTTTATACCTACGTGACTTTACTGAAAGAACCAAAGAGTATGGATTCCTGCAGTCACGAAAGCTTCAAATCAAGATTAATGCTTCAATGCATGGATGAATGAATGCATAAATAAACGAATGCACACACGAATAAATGGTTGATTGCATAATCAGATGTGTGGATGAAGGAATGAATGCATAAATTGTTGAACACATTAATGAATGTGTGAAGGAATTCATACATTAACTGGTGTGTTAATGAATGAATGCATGAGCAAATGCATGAATGGGTGAGTGAATTAATGAATGAGCACCAGGCTGTGTCGGGGTGCATGAGTGGAGGGCCGGGTCCCCCTGAGCTGCCCGGTCCCACTGCCGTTCGTTTTCAGTGTTTGCAAATGTTAGAAACCTGCAGATATTCGGAGGAATGTGTCGCTCGATTCCTCTTATCTCTAAACATTTTTTCAGATAAATAGCGTTGTGTCGAATAATGTGGCCGCATACTGTGCCTGTAAAATGGAAATCTTTATTGTATTTACTCTACTGTTTTATATTTATGGATTTGTCTACAATAGCAGCAACACAATCTATTTTCTTTGAATGCAAATAGATTTTTTTTTATTTCAGGGTCGTACCAGCAATACACATTTTATAAGTGTGATTTGTTTGGAGCATTTATAATGGTAAAATAGATGATACATTATTTCTCCCATCCCCCTCACAAATTAAAGCGACATTAAAAACGTGTTACGCTCAGACTTCAATTTGATTGTAAATATTCTTCCCCAGATAGGTGGCAGAGATTTTGTCACGGCATCTTAGAGATCGAACCACGTGATGCATGTCAAGTGCGTGTGATTGTAGGGTCTCACCAATTAAATTGTGCACACCGTGAACGTCTGATGTTGGTCGATAAAAAAATCCGTTTTGATTAATTTAACCCTGTACAGTGGGGTTTAGCTTTTTTTTTTTACATTCGGTACGTAATTGAACACCGTATGTTTGTCTTGTAAAATATGACACTGCAAACTTAACAGCAAAGGTGGCAGTGGCAATGAGGCAGCTCAAAATATGCACCTCAATGTCGAACGTGGTAGTGGGACGAACGTCAATACAGCAGCAACTTTGCCTTTCCGCAGTTGGTGGAATACCAACATTATTTTTGAGTCTCTCATGCTCGCGCTCTATTCCGTTGACTGCCTCAGGTCTACTTCAACAGCGGAACAATTAGGTTCTTCCGCCTCCCGGCCGATTCGATGAGTTGTCACAATTTAAAACTCCGCCAGCTGGAGGCCCTCCAGAGACGAAGTGAAAAGTTGTTTCGTTTTGTGAACGCTGAATTTTACTTGTTGTTAGCCTTGTAAACATTTTTTTCATTTTTATTTAACTTTGTTTTCCTTTTGAAAATATTACTGGGGGCCTCACAGTGCCTGTAGCCCAGGGGCCTACAAAATCTTAATCCGGCCCTGCGTACACCAATGACAAACAGCATATCACCTCCGTGATCTGTCTTGTGATGCAACGACCCACCTGCACATGAGATGATTACATTGCTCCATATCTATAGTGGACTTCCTCTCTGTCGTGTGTCCCTCTTTTAGCTGCCACTTCGTTGTTAGTCTTCATCAGCTGCCATCTGTTCCAGTGACACTTGCTGCCCAGGCCCACGTGCTTGTCTTAAGAGTCGATATGACGTCTTGAACTTGTGTGAATGTGTCCAAAGACTCATCATCATCATCATCGTCACAATCATCGGTGTCCAGTGCACACGTTTCGTCATTTTGTTTCCACTTTCCTCCTGTCTTGTGCCAATATGCTGAAGTAGTGCCACATCTTTCTGTCACCAATCTCTGACGTCGTCAAGAATGCGTGAGGATAATGAAGACAGTTGAAATTCGTCTGCGCTACCTGCTCCGACATGGTCCAGAAACATGGACACGAACATGCAATTAAAATAAAGCGAAGGATATAAAAACTTAATAATTGAGTGAAGAAGCATGGAGGGCTGCATTCCAGGAATTGCACTGAAAGACAGAAAGAGCAACACATGGATGAGGGAACATGCACAACAGATCGCACATCGACAAACATTGGTTCTTCTTACGCAGCAGCTTTGATGCCGTGCACCGCGAGCTTAAGAATCGATATGAATGAATAAATGCGTTGTTCCACTCTCATACTTTGATTGCCGGATCGTCCCCGTCATCAAAGCGTGTATTGTCTCTTTGATGGCACGTTGCACCCCTGCACTTTACATGGGCCTCGTACGGAGAGCATTGGAGGTGATTTTTGTTTATATACTGTGGACCTTGGACTCTTTATAGGTTGGCTTCTGGCGAACGTGAAACAATCTCCCTCTTTGATTGTCCTTTGTGTGTTAGGGTACCTCAGGTTGTATGTGCTCCTGGAGCTGTCTTCTGCATCCTAATCTTCCTTACCAGACCACTTCAAAGGGTGCAATCAATGCCAGCGGTTCTTTGTTTTTCCATGTTAAACGTCGGAAAGAAACTGACTTCAACATTTGCACCACCGTTAGTTTTGTTCAAATGTGCTCCTGTTAAAAATAGCATTCAAATCTTTAAGATCATCAAGACTACTCGCATGTGTGTGTGGATATCTCTCTGTGGGTTCATTAAAGTACTTTGAGTGAGTTGTGCAATAAAAAAGATAATTATTAATCAAACCAACATGGTTAAGTGCCTATTTGCCACTTTATTGTCCAGCAATAACACGTGGTTGACCCAACCCAGGGGCTGATCCTTCTTTAATTGCAGGTCTACAAATCAAATATAAAAGATAAAAGTGCAGCCCTGCAATTGCTCGTTCATGCCACTGCTAATGGAAGGGCCTCCACTAAAGGGAGCTCTAGAGAGCCACTCTGCAGGGTGTTTGGCCTACTCTTCCACACTGGTCAGATATCTTGGAAGAGGTGGGGGTCACCCAAACATTACCCCACCAAACATGATCTGCCGATCGACTGACAGTGGTTGCACCCATTCATACTGCTCGGTGGATAGAGGCAGGGAGGGGTGGGCGGGGGGTTAAGAAACTTGCATCATTCTCTCAACCATCGCACCGGGAGATTGAATCGAACTGGCGGGCGACCTCTGGATTGCAAGTCCACCGCACCTCGGCAGCATCCTCGCATTCGTATTACGGGGCGGTATGCAATGTCTCTTAAACGCCACTATGTCGTTTCTTTGCAGCTGGTGACTTGTCAAACAAGGCTGTGTGCGGATACGGTGTCATTTTGACATGCACAGCACGCTCGGATTCCTGTTATGTGTTGCTGTTGACACCTTGTTTTGTGTGTTTATTGCCATTTGTTCCTGGGCTGCACACATTCGTACGGCTGCTGCAATGCCTCGTCAGCTGGAGAGGTCACCGCTTTAATTTGTCTGCTTTTTGTTGTTGTTTGTTAAGGACTCCAACACGCTGCTCCCTGTGACGTTGGCGGTGGATCCCAATGGACACTTTCTCTACTGGACAGATATGACCAAGGTACTTGTAACCTGCTGACTCGCTTTGCTCCAGCCACTGGAGCTGTGCACTTTTTCTTCTAGATTGAAAACGAGTTTATTTAGTTTGTTGTCCTTCACCCACACCTCAGATTAGCACGGTTGGCAACGTATGGTGCGAAAGAAGTTCAACGTATATTCTGACGTGCCACAGGTGGTTTCCTTCCCATGCCCCATATTCTTCGCTTCAAGTCCAACAATTTTCATTCATACAGAATTTGGATGTATATAGCATCTTTATATCCATAATAGAGGTTTATGGGTTAGATTGCGTAAATATAAATGTTGTGTTGTTAAACCCGCCACCACCCGACACAGTCAATTAGTAAGGTTTGTCACGTAAACAGAACATGCCCGTTTGTTACTAGTTCAGCGCACCGGTGTGCTGGAGAGTAAACCCACAACGTCTACAATTTGAGTACGATATTTTTTCGATTAATTACAACCAGCATTATCAGGCGACAGCCAGAGTTATGTTAAACTGACCATTTCTATATATACTGCATGGATTCTCATAAATATGACTGCATCACGAAATTAATTAATTAATTTAAATCTCAAATTCTGAGTCTGTACTTATGTGAAGAACATTGCATGCCACTGAGATTCAACTGCAGTTCAAGACTAAAGTTCTAGACTTGTCAGTGTGAGGGGAAGCTTGTAGATATAAGTCCACGCAGGATATGCTATTCCCATCCATAGACTCTAAAAGGAAATACGACTTATAGCATGAGAATGGAATAGCCTCCATGATTGTAGTATAGGATGACAGAGCTTGGGAAATTGTTGGCGTCGGTTCTGGCTGCCTCTCCGCTTGTCTGTGGTTGTCTGCACTTTGTAAATCAGTCTCTCTCGCTCGCTCGCTCTGAGAGCGAATTAAAACTGCACGTTAGACATTCTAAATGATTATCACCTGCTTTAAGCAATTAACTCAAAACGTTCATCACTAAAACAAAAATATGCCTTCCAAGTAAAATTATATAATAGGTGACATTTTGGGAAATGGCTCTTCTTGTGTTAGGGAGAATTCACCATTGCCTGAAAATGTGTATTTCTTTTAACTTTTCTTGACGAATGCGTTGAATTTGTTTGCGTATTACGCTGGTGCATCAATGCCAATGCAGTATCGCCCAAAAACTTGCTTGAGGCAATGCATTCTATATTGTTGTTGATTATAATACATTGGTGTGATTGGTTGCGCCATGTTAGACCGTTTACTCTGTTGTGTCACAGACACAGCACTCACGTGCAAAGTGATGCACACTGTAGTATTCAGACTGTGCAATGCAATGCTGAACGCCGATAATGCTGTTCGAGGTTATGAATAGTGCACATGTATAGAGAGCATCCTTGCCTATGCAGTAGTCTTAAAAATAGGAGTGGAATAGACACCAACATTGCTGCCTCACAAGGCCACGGGAGATCAGCAGTGGATATATCATGGATGATGATGGCGAGGTACCAACATAGCTATTCCTACTACAATTCAGGGTTTGTGCATTTTGAATAGTGGATGACAAACATCACAAGTGGGCTGTAAAGTAGCCATGAGATGCAGGTTTAATTATGCATTTTTGAATCTATCCACGTGGAGCTTTAGATCATGATAAGCATGGTTGTGGAGAATATAACTAACAAAATGATAATCAGACAATGTCCCCTTCACACATGCGTCTCCCCACATAAAAACTCGATGCATAATTTCAATACCATTGAATTTAAGATAAGCAAACTCCGGACCAAATTCAACATACTGTATGTCAACGACAAACTGTATGTATGTGCGGCTGATGGGCCATGTAGGATATGCTTTTAGTTTTGATGTGGCCAGACAGATATGTTTAGGGAAACATTGTCTGCTTATTTGTTTTGTTATGTGGAGCTTTGGATGTTCTCGTTTCGTTGGATTTTCTCCAGGCACTCTGATTCCTTCCCATGTGCCAAACACTCACTACAGTAATTCTCTTCTCACGACATCCTAATGCTGGACCGTCCTGACAATGCGCCTTGACACCCAGTACGGCTTTTCTGGCTCAGTTTAGGGCATTATCTGCAGTCTTGATTGCAGTCTTGCAATATTACTACGTGCGTGTAAAGTACACAGGGTGGCCTGCTTAATTCACCACATCACAATTAGTTTCACGTGAACATTTTTGAGTGTCCTCTCTTCATGGCTATGAGGAAATGGCCACACATCTAAAATCTGATCCTCTACTATATTTTATTCACTCTCACCAGTATCGTCAGCCATTACCCACTACTGTACCGCTAGACGATGGCCACCCCACATCGTTTCCATCCCTGACAGTCCCGCAGTTCCACATCTCATCTCATCTCGCTCCCGCACACAAGCCGATTCCATTGCTCCATCTCCGCAGCGCTCGTCACTTGAGACGCGGGGTCTCCTCGTGGCCGCCACCTCCATCGCAAATCGTGTCCATCGGCCATCATCCATTCCAGCGCAGACCCCATTACATATCTGAACCCTGTTCCATCCTGGTCACATTCCCTGTACTCTGTGCTCATGCTGACATAGTGAATAAAAAAGAAAGACCCAACCGCAAATGCGGTTACATCGACCCTGTGGGGCACCCTTGCAGTTGCAGACGAACGCCGGTAATGAGCTTGCGTGGAAACATTAGGAGTGTGTTGGGGTCAGACGCGAGGGTTGGGGGAGGTGTGGGAGTGCTGGTTGAGAAGGGGAGACAATAAATGTTGCGTCGGTATGAATTGGCGCGACACCAATTAGTACGGCGGTTCACCTTTTACACCTTAAACGAACGCCGATTGTATATACATGACACGCACTGTATAAGATGCAGGCACAATCCGCAGATTAAAATAACTAATATAATATATATGCACACACTCAACGTATATTGTTTGCCCGATTCCACAGTCACGGGTTTATAAGACGAATGCAACAGGTACAGTGCTGTTGTTGTATATAAATCACAATGATTATTTATAGCCCTTTGTCCACTGCTGGATAAATGCCTCCCCATGCCATGCCAATAAGTAAGCATTGTGTTGACCATACTTAACAGGGCTGTTTACTGCAGGTTGGTGAAGGAAGGAGAGCACAGAAACACAGTTTAGTAATTTCTCACCACTGATGTCTGCCACGGCTGGTAATCATCAGACTCTGATCGTCAGGCTCGCAGTGCAGTGCCGTAATATCACTTCGCCACTGCTGCACCCATTTAATAATCGCCGCTTAAAATAACACAACAGACCAACCACTGCACCACCGTGTATTTGTATTCTTTAATTACATTTTAAGTATTTTGACCCTTTTGAGATTAACCTTCTTGGCCAAAACGTTGCCAATTTTCGATTCCCTTTCAGGCAAGCTGTTTGTTTTCCTTTTGAGTCACATGATATCACTCGATGTGCATTTTTCTGAAGCACCATTGATGTACCGTGCTGTGTTGGATGTTTGCTATGTTTTGATAACGGTGCATTTCGCAAGTGTTGTTGATGGTTGCCTCTTTCATTACATAATCATTCGGTGACACACCTCAATGGCTCGAGGCCATCACGTACGTGCAGAATCCTGGCTGCCTTCATCTGCACAGCTGCCCCCATCATTAGTATGAAAGGTAGAATGTGCAGCCCCGTAATTCCCTGCTCATGCCACTCCTGGCAGAAGTGCCTCAAATACTGTGCCATGTGCCCCTCGAAAATGAAACTAAGCTCAAGTATATTTTATTTTACCAGGTAAGGCCCAATGAGCTATACTGTAGAGCTCGTTTTCAGATGCCACAAATGATAGCTCAGTCAAGTGACTTAGCATGTATAGATTTATAGCAGCAGCCAAATACTCTAAAATCACATTTCTCAATGTGGAGGGAAAAAATCCACGTGACCACGGGGAGAACATGCAATCTCAAAATATACAGCAACAGGCGTCAGGGTTGGCATGGAACCCACGACCTCCAGTAGACCAGGCGAGGTAGTTAACATCTCGCCACACGCAGGCCAGTCAACCTGTAAGAGGTTGTAGCTACCCACGCTTTACCCCACCACATGTAACACTGCCGATTGACTCACGATGGTGAACCCACTTAAACTGCTGGGTGGACAGAAGTGTCTTGAGTGGATTTACTAAACTTGCAGCATTGTTTCACCTGCCGTGCCGGGAGATCGAATCGAACTGGCGACATCTCGGTGACAAGTCCGGTGTGCTCACCATCACAACACCATGGCAGCATCTCCAGCATTAGTAGAATAGAGCAGTTGGCCAAACGTTACATTTCTTGGGAGGAGAAGCATCTATATTTAATGATCCAAGTGTGTGTATTTTCTTCTCTCTTTTCTGCAAATCGGGTGTAATATATCCAGCTTCCTTCGTGCCAGGAAAGATGAGTCTTGGCCGAATGCATAATGACATCATTTGGTTTCCATGGTGATGTGCATGGCTATATTCTGGATTTTAAATTGTCAGAAAGGTCAAACATTTCAGACTTATGTTTAATTTTGAACTACAGTATATATATGACATATTTTGTGCCTGACAATTATTCACATGTGCTTTTGCCGATGTGCTTTAGTCAAAGCACAGTACTAGACTGAGGGTCTTGAACATCATAGTTCTTAACTTTTTGTGCATCATGTGGGAATGTAATGCTGTATATATTTTTTCACTCGGATGTATCGTAATTATACACCATTTTCGCCTTCTGAAATATGTTTGTCGATGCTCAGCATGTTTAAAACATTTGCTGTGTTTTACCATAAAAACGGAGTCACATATCATTTCCAAAGCAGGTCAATTGGATATTTGTCACGCCTTCACTATGTTATGTATACATCAACATTTTGATAGGGCACAAAGTAAATATTATCAAATCTTATATTTCCGAAGGATTATGTAACTCGAATGTATAATTTGTTTCTGAATCTGCAAAATGTACGTGTGTATACATGTTATGAATTGAAAGTTATTTGTTTACTTCGTTTTGTTTGCTTTAAAAAGCTTCA